GTAAAAATTTAATTTATTAGATATCTTTGGGCCATAATATTCATTGTATTAATTTTTTTAGAGTGAAATATTTATTGTATTAATTAAAACAACGTGATTTTAAGCAGGCCAACAGGGATGCAGCCACAATGTGATAAGGCTAGTTAGGGAATCTCCCATTTACCCTCGAACCCAAGAAAAGAAATATAGTACTTTTATTGAGGTGTTTGAATAGAACCCAAGTTGTACAAGATATAAATATGTGAAGGAGTTTATCTCTATTTACAGAAAAGTAGTTTTAGAGATATCCAAACATCCCTTATATAATTAGTATTTTGATTTTATACTAGTCAAAGATACTTATAGTCTAAAAAAGAAAATGATACTCGTCCGATCCTAAATATAAGACTCTTATATAATATAGATAAAGATCTTATATTTAAAATCGGAGGAGTATCATTTTCGAAATTCAAGTTGAATAATGTGTCATGACGACAGCCGATAATATTAGTCATTAGATAGACCTGATCTTTCATAAATCTGCTCCGACAAAGACAAACTAAAAATTCATGACCATCAACATAATCTTACATATAATAATAAAATTTTAAAAAAAGTACAATACTTAAATTAATTTCCTTATACTCTCTCCAGTCCGCAATACAATTAATAACTAGTTCGTGAGTAAAATATATATATATATATATATATATAGCTAACTTATTAAATATGTTTCCAATTAAAATCTTTTTTCAACTTTATCCATATTAAATGAGGTTATGAAGAAAAGAGAAAAACATAAGGAATTATTCTTATAGTTCTAATTATCAGACACTTCCAATATATTTTACACATATCAAGAATAATCTTAAAATATATTGACTTTCTATTAAAATATAACAACTTTTCAGCGTTACCTCTATTTAATATACATTCATTTCAAAAAATAATTATTTACATTATAATAAATGAAAGAAAAAAATAATACATGCATCCTAAAAATTTAATAAAGTGATTTATAAATAAGACCAAGAAAAATCTCCTCTCTCTATCTTATAAATAGGATCAAAGGAGTAAATCTAAGTATTAATTGCAATGACAAAATTAACAAATAAGTATTAATACTCTTAATTTATATTTTGGACCAAGCCATCTTTTAGAAGTGTTTTATATTGTGGGCTGGAAGTATATATAATTTTAAGTTCTTTCTCATGTCCATGTGCCCTATTTTTCAAATATTATTATTTGCTTATAAACCTACATTAAAAAATAGGCCAAGTATCCATATGTGTGACACATAAACTGATATAAACAACTTCGTCTACGTACTTTTCATTAAAAATTAAACTATCAATAATTTGACTTAGTTTAGATTTTGTTTTTACATTTTCTTTAACATATGTTTCCAAAAATAAAATCATTCGCCAACTCGTAACAACCAAAAACAAAATAAAATAAAATATCGGGAGTACACTTTGTACCTAACAACAGGGCCATATCGGGAGGCTGAAGTCTTTTTTTTCAATCATTATCCATAAAAATAAATCAAATATTTATTATTATTAAGTACGATATAATCAATGCATCTAAAAAGTTCTCCACCTAACAATGAATTGAAAACAAAATCATATGACTTGAAATATTGGTTGCGACTTTCACGGTTCTAACCTCTTAACAGCTACCTCAATTATTAGCATCCCTTTGAGTCTCGAACTAATCAAATAGGATAGAATTATATGGTGAAACAATATTTAGGAGTGATCAGATAGAAACCAAATTATAATTTCAAAACTGTTTTTACGATTTATGAAGTAAATATGTAGAGGAATTTATTTCGTTTTACAAAAAAGTGCTTCTCAGAAACACTTTTACATGTTGCCAAACACCCTCTAATCTTTTTTCCTGAATGGTGAAATTATTTAATTTTGCTCAAATTAATAAGGTTAAATTAAAAAATATCAGTTAAGAATTTACTTCGCTTTTCTTGCTCGTTTACTTTTCTTCAATCCAAACATAGATTATTTTATCAGAGTATCGATGCCAATAATATTATTCAACATTTATAAAATTTATATAGAATTGCATTTTTTATTGAGTTATATGTAATGTAGCTTCTGTTATACTCCATGCAAATTTTTTATTCTTATTTCATTCCATCTCTTTCTATTTGTTTGAATAATTTATATATGACAGCAAAACAATAAGTATAATATTTCAAAAACTAATTAAATTGTTATAAATCCGTGTGCGTTTCACACACACACACACAAAGATATATAATTTTGAAATAATGAAATAATTTTAAAGATCATTTTTACCCCATCTAAATATATCCCTACTATTTATAACTAAAAAAAAAATCAGTGTGTTTGACAATTTGAATTAAGCAAGAAGGAATATAACAGCTAGGCGTTAGCATGTAGTTTTCAAGAACAAATTGCAAAACAAGCAACTAAGATAACAGTCAATGTCTCAATGAAAGCTTTATCCTTCTTTTTTATTAGTAACCACGAAATGAATCTGTATATGGTGTATTACGTACAATATAACAATGCAAATAATAAAATTAAGTTTTATAGGTAATCATACTTTGGTAAATCGCTCCTTGAATTATATACAGCTGTTTAATTAACTGTAGATAATTCAATTAATTAGGCACATATGCTAGGTTTGACAAAACTGTGACATGATACACTAAATTGCGACCTCCTCATTTTGTTTGTATACGCACAAAATAAGAACAATTGAAGCGACAATAATCATTAGTTTTTTATACTCCTCCGGTTCTAAATATAAGACACATTTCATAGTATAAATTACATTACAAAATAGGTCTTATATTTAGGACCGGAAGAGTACATGTGTGTGTGCATATTATTGAATTTTGACTCTCAGGATGCAATTACTTAATAGTGAAAGCAACAGCAATTAATAGTAAGAACAACATTATCCTGTTTTTTTTTTTTTAATTGAAGGGTAACATTATGTGCTATTTGATATTCCATCCGGTTCATAATATAAGAAGTCTCCTGAAAGAAAACTCTGGTCCAAAATGTAACAGATTTACAAGGTAAATCAAGGATAGTTTTTCGCTTTTATCTCTTGTTGTCATGAGAGGAAGGAGTTTTAAATTACTCCTCCGGTCCTTAATATAAGACTCATTTGACTAATTTGATTAGATTAAGGAAGTTAGGTAAGTTAGTTAATTATAAGAAATGTGACATATTTTTCCTAAAACACTATGATTATCTTTCTTAATACATTTCTCCCTCTTCTACTTGATTATGGTTTAGGGAATATCTATAGGGATAATTTAGAGAAAATTGATAAATATGAGAAATGGGTCTTATATTTAGGACCAAAACCTACTCAACAATTTGGTCATATATTAAGGACCGGAGGAGTATCATATTATTAAATAAGAGTAAAATAAATAATCTTTGAAAGAATCGTTGAAGGGCATATCTTTAACTTAATCCACAAGTGTTTCAACTTTTCAACATAATTTCAAATTTTAAATCTTTTTATTATGATTACACTTCAATCTTTTCGCCTCATTATTTGAGGCATAATTGTACGTAATACATGGTTTAATTAATATACTTGTCTGTGTGAGGGGGAGGGAGAGAGACCTAAGTGTGTGTGAGATAGTAGAGTTTAAAAAGAAAATAGTTAAAGTTAATTAAAAGTAATAAATATGTAAAAATTAATATTTTTAATATGTCCTTATTTAATAAGGGGACAAATAAGAAAGAGAAATTCTAGATGAAAAAAGATAAGAATGTGGCATGAGAAAAAAAAGAGAAGAGAAAATAAAAAATTAATTAGGAAAAAAATTAATTAAAACACATTTAATATTCAAATATGACTAAATAAAATCTTATAAAAAAGAACCAGACAAAATAAAACAGTAGAGGGCATTGGATAGGTGCACAAGATCTGATGAAGCAGACAAAACAACCTGGAGGGGTCAAGACTTGTCCCAAACCCATTAAAAAATAAGCATAGGTGTGGCGACAAACACATTATAACAGGCCTCATTGATTAATTGTCCCTTCCATATTTATCATCTGCCAAGGCCAATATAATGTTTATCCTACGTAATTTTTTTCCCAAAAAAAAAAAAAGAGCAGAATATGAAATTCATTAGAGAAACATTTATATATTTAATAGACTAGTTTGGAAACTTGAAAATACTTATCAAAGTCTAAAAAAAAGAGTTAAAAATTTAAAATATATCCAGCATCCTGAAGTATTTTCTTAGGTGCATCCATCATCCTAAAGTATTTTCTGGTACATCCAGCACCCAGAAATATTTTTTTAGGTGCGTCCAGCACCGTAAAATATTTTTTGGTGTATCCAACATTTCAAAGTATTTTTTTCAAATGCGTCCAACACCAAAACTATTTTTTGAGGCATCCAGTGGCGAGGAAAAAAAAAAACACTTCAAGATGTTAGGCACCCCTAAAAAATATTTCGGAACGCTGAATACATCACAAAATACTTTAGGGTGTTAGATGCATATAAAAAATATATTTTGAAGTGCTGGATGCATCTTAACGCAAAATATATATATTTAACTTAGTGGAGCTTTCATATTTTTCTCCATTTTCCTTCTCTGTTTTTTTCCCGAAATATTTCCTCCTTTAAAAGATTTCTGCAACATAAGGACCGGAGGTAGTATGTAGCAAATTTGTTTTGCAATCATCATCTGAGATGTATAAATAATTAATTTGTGATTCAACACTAATTACTCATTTTGCTTCTATATAATATAATGAAAATTGATTTTTAGAAATTTTAATTATCAGGATAGAATTCTTGTTTCTATTTTTGAAAGGTATGCCGTTAAGATTCCGCAGTTGCCTTTGGTGTTAAAAATTTGAAAGCCGACGACGCTACATCGTATTCCTGAATTTCAAGCAATGTATGAAGGTCATTTACGTCATTTCGCAATATGCCGGTGAGGTTGTTACTCTGATTTGATTCTTGTCCTCCTTCCCACTGTTCCTCTGTCTCTAAAACCAACAAAGACGAAACACTTCACACGAAGCACTGAGGGAGAGAGAGAGAGACGGAGAGAATGAGAGAGCCTTCGTCGGTGGGATTGGATGGGAACGGCGTCGTATCTTCGCTGACGGCGCCACCACAGCATCTGCTTGAGAGGCTCAAGGATTATGGTCAGGAGGACGCTTTTGCCCTCTGGGACGAGCTTTCCCCGGGAGAACGTGACCTACTTGTTAAGGACATCGAAGTAAACTCCGCTCCCTCCCTATAATCTTTTCGATCTGCCATTTCAGTTCTTTCGTTCTTGTTCAGTCGGGAAGTTAGATTTCCGCTATTCGGAATTATATGTCCTGCTTTTTTGTCCAATAATTATTGGTGTTTTACTAAGTCAGCTTGTTTCGCGTTCGAATGGATGTCATTGATTGTGAATTCAGGGCATCGAATTTTAAGATTTACTGCTCAACTTTGTTGCCCATACTTCTGGGATTGGAATTTTAATTTGTACTATTGGATGTTGATTCCGGTTTTCAGATCAATTAGAAATTTCTTTAGTATCGAATTTTTTGTGATATGTTCGCAAAAACGAAAAAATTTGACTTTTGTTAATTTAACTTTGTTGTAATGTAATTGATGAGTTCAATTTGCAGAATGTAGATCTCCCGAGGATTGACCGGATTATCCGATGTTCACTTCGATCTCAAGGTGTATCCATATTTCTCGCCTCATAACCATATCCACTTACGCTGTGCATCCTTATTCTGAAAGGAAAACAGTTTTGACGGGCGTATTTTGTGTGAAATCACTCCAGGACTACCTGCAGCTGCCATTGAGCCGGTGCCAGAGAGTACCGTGTCGACGGTGGAGGAGCGAACCATAGAAGAAAGAGAGCGATGGTGGAAGATGGGTTTAAAGGCTATATCAGATGGGAAGTTAGCTGTATTGCTTTTATCGGGTGGCCAGGTACTACTGCGATTTATTACGATCGTCATTTTTTTTTCTTCCAAATGTTCTAACGCTAAAGAGATCCTTGATGTCTTTTGGCATCATCCTTCTTTTGATTCTTTCTTTCTTTTTTTTTTTTTTTTTGGGGTGGGAGCAGAATGCTTTTGGGTTTAATCGAGTGCTCTGTTATCTTTGTCTATTTGTCTTCTACTTCTGTTGGTGCAATGAACTTCTCTGAAAGGGGCATTATAGACGATAATAATAATTCAGAGTGTGATTTCTCCCTTTTTTTTTTTTTTTTAACACTACCCGAAACATTATTTTGGTATGATGTTGCCTCTTTTTGGAAAATATCTCTACATTTGGGACAAATGTGCGGTGACGATGTTAGTCTCCCTGTTGATTGATGGTCTCTAAAGCCCAGCATCATTCACCTGAAAAATTGTGCTTGCTTAATTTAAAAGAAGATGCTTTTTCACTTTAATAAAAATTCTTTGCAGTATCGTAGTGTATAAATTATTCTAGAGGCGACGATGATTGATTTAACTTTTTGGTGTTCCCTTGTAATAACATGTGACTGATTTGTTTGTAGAAAAGTAGTGCCCTTAACTTGGTTTAGTGTAATCATGAAGCACAATAAAGTTGCTTTATGGGTTCCCTACTCTTTTCTCATCGGGTTTCACCAATTTAAAATAAAATCATCATTATTTAGTGGCGCTCTGGCCAAAAGAAGAAGCGGCTTTAGTAGCTATTTATGCGTGTGATAGTTAAATCGTACTAATAATTTCAGTTCTCTATTTTCTTTCTCAATTCCAGATTATTGAAAATTTTCTACCCCATTTTAATCAACATCCAATCATTACCGACCATCCTTTTAAGTTCCTTTTTTCATATTTATCATAGACATTGTTATTATACCGATGTCTTGATATTTGCTATGCATGTGAACTTTACTTTTTCTGTTTTTTATAATTTGAAAACATTCTGTATATTAAATTTCTATTACCTCCAAGCTTTCAAGTTTTCTGGATTTTATTAATTTATTTTATTTTTATTTAATTACTAATTTATTTTTAAATATATAAATTCAGTACACACATAAGCTATAAGTAGATTATTTTCAACACACTCCCCCTTTTCACCTTAAGCTTCTAAGTCCCTATAACTCCTCTTTAGTCTTTATATTTAGTCAACCAAAATCACCTTTCTCATCATTTTAAACAAACTTACCCTTAAACTGGAGGCTCACCAAATGATAAGTTCTAATAAATTATAATGTTCGCTTTAAAAGCTGTTTTTATTTTAAATATTAAACTTCACCCAATTTACCTGTATGGCTGTCTCAAGGATGTCTTGAACCTGTAAATGCAGGGGACGCGCCTTGGAAGTTCAGATCCAAAAGGATGTTTCAGTGAGTCATCTCAATTCTTCTTTTATGGCAATTCTGTTGGACTGGAAATGTTATGAAACTCAGTCTGGTGTTAATTAGTTTACTCTTTCTTTTCAAACTTTTAATTGAATATGATAAAGCCTATCACTTCACATGTTATACATATTTGTCTTGAGGTTCTAATTGCAGTCCCTGGCAATAGATGAATTTATTCTCTACTCTTAATATTCTTTGCATATTCTTTTTAGTCATGATGATTTTAACATGAAATGGAAGGCTTGTCACTGATGCGCTGGACCTGTTATTTTATGGAGTAATCATTGTAATTGTGTAACCTCTCATAGATGCTTCTTTCAGAAAAATAAGCTTTTGGAAATATTTAAATTATTTTGGAAGATAACTGGAATACTTAGGGTATTTTTTATGAAAATGAAAATTTCTCACTGAAATTTAGTGATGAAACAAAACATTGAATTTCTAATATTTGAGGAGATCGAATCTCAAGTCCTTAAAGTAAATGAAAAGAAAGTTTGGATTCTTTTTATAACAGGGCTACGCCCAATACTAAAGAAAACTATATTCATTTAATAATGTATATAAGAAAAGGAATGCTGGTGAATGCGATGATAAATTACATTTTTCTTCTTTTCTACAAAAAATATGAATATTACTTCGATATCAAGCATGTAGACAAGTTTTCTGCTTAGCATACAGTTTGAAGTAACTGAAGCATAGTTTTCATTTTTGTGCAACGTTTATAGGTCTTCCTTTTAGCTATTTATTATCTGTGAGATGATGGTACTTTTGGTGCTTGGAAGTTCTCTGGGAATAAATCATTAAAATTTATTGGTTCTTTATGTGTTGTTAATTTTCTTTTTAGATATTGGACTTCCATCGGGAAAGTCACTTTTCCAACTGCAAGCAGAGCGAATTTTGTGTGTACAGAGACTGGCTGCGCAAGCTACAAATGAGAGTAGGTTTCATTTGTGTTGGTAAAGTTTATTCATACGCCATTGTATTTGTCATTCTTACCAATTTTGCATCGTGTAGGTTCTACTTCTTCAGTGCAAATACACTGGTACATCATGACTAGTCCATTCACTGATGATGCAACACGGAAATTCTTTGAAAGTCATAAATTTTTTGGTCTTGACCCAGACCAAGTAAGAAGCCTCGAAACCTTTCCTTGTGCTATTACTACCTGTTTTTCAGTGGGCGAGGTTGCTTACTTTGGATTCACCTCTTTGATATAGGTTACCTTCTTCCAGCAAGGGACCATCCCTTGTGTTTCCAAGAGCGGTAGATTTATAATGGAAACTCCATACAGAGTATGGTCTCTTTCTTTTAATGAGTTTTCTCCTTACATGTGTTTTTACTTTCTTTTCTCTAATGTTTAAATTGGAAGCCATGAAAAAACTACAGGAGTGTGGGTTCAGAAAAATTTGAAAGATTGACCTTGCAATTTTTTATGTGTGATAATTCACATATGAAGTCATATTTTTTATCGGTGATGATTCACATATGTATTTCATTTTTTTTTTTTTGACATTTTAAATTCGAACAACAAATTTATTGATTTTTTAAAATTTCATTTTGATATACGTCCAAATGAGAGCTGTAGTATGTTTTTCTTCAGTCTGTTATTTTAGCTGACGCTTTGTGACCATTTTTTATGGGAGATTTTGTTAACTGGACCTCAGAGAGATTGAAGAGGCCTTTTGACCTTGTGGCTCTTCATTTACCATGTTTTTAATTTTTGTTGATATTTTGACTGTTCCTATGAGTTTCTTATCCTCTGTATTATTTTTGCTTATGATTTCTTTATTTTCTTCTTTCACTAAAAAGAAAAAGGTGTTCCTTGGCAAAGCTTATAATTTGTACTGGCTTGTATAATAGAGCAGGCTCTGAATGACACACTAAATAATACCAAGGCTGTATAGACAACTGATAACTGGAACTTTCATTTATACACCAATAGCTTGAAATAATTAGGATGTATGGAACTTGCATTTATACACCAATAGCTTGAAATAATTAGGATGTATGTCTGATCCATTAAAACTTGACATTTTGAGTTTGACCATCCGCATGCCAATATACTTAAAATCTTAAATATTAATTATAGAATGTTGAAAATATTCCTTGATTTTCTCTCCTTTTTAATTTTCCCCCTAGAACTGCAAATATATCTTCTACAATTAGCATTTAAGGATATAAATTGTACATTGTATGGGATTGTCGTACTTAAGTTGTCTCTTGTTGGTGTGTGACGCCGTATTGCCTTTCTTGGTTTGAAACTATTTTGTTATGCTGGTGGTTTAATATTTGAACTTTCTGAAGCCAGGTAGCTAAGGCTCCTGATGGGAATGGTGGAGTATATTCAGGTATTGTAGTTTATTAAAGCTTTTTATATATTCTTTGAATTTGAAATGTTAAAATTGAATGTACTTTTCTTATTTTTCACATATTGCATGAGTTTATTTATTAAAATGGGAAATTCTTTTCTTGTTCAGCTCTGAAATATTCGAGGTTATTGGAAGATATGGCCTCAAGAGGAATTAAGTATATTGATTGCTACGGAGTTGATAATGCGCTGGTGACGTCTCCTTATTTTCTGTTTTGAACTGGAATTAGTCACGTTACCTAGTCAGTTGTCATTCACTCCCTATTATTTGAAGACTTAATTGTTAGGACTTATGATTCAGGTCCGAGTTGCTGATCCAGCTTTCCTGGGTTACTTCATTGATAAAGGAGTAGCTGCTGCAGCCAAAGTTGTCCGCAAGGTAACTGACCAATCAGGTTTTCCTTACTAGTTACCCAGTCTTCTTTATCAAGTAATTTCTAAACTTAATTATCCAGTCATCTCTGTTGCTTTTAATCATCTTCCATCTACAAATGTATGAATTTGTGATGCCACAAAATCTTAAGGATTGGAAGAAATAAGGTGCTTATTTATACGTCCTCGCATAGAAAAACAGGAGGGCATGGATAATATCTAAAATACACGTCTATAAAAATCCTGTGTTTTTGTTTCTCTTTATACTTCTTAGACCAAATTATAGGATTTGCCTGTTGTGGAATTACGGGAGGCACTGGTCTTCTTCTTAATAAATAATGTAGTTACTCTTGTGCTTCTTTTCTCAATGCTTACTATTTGTATCTCTGTTTCTCATATAACAGGCATATCCCCAAGAAAAGGTTGGTGTATTTGTACGTCGAGGGAAAGGTGGACCTCTTACTGTAGTTGAATACAGTGAGTTGGATCCATCTCTAGCTTCTGCGGTCAATCAAGAAACTGGCCGTCTTCGTTTTTGTTGGAGTAATGTGAGTCTTTTGCCGCTCTATTTTGTTTCATGGTCTTGAACCTTTTTTCGCAAACCTTGCTTTTTAAGGGCCTTTCCGCTTGCCATGGATGACTGGTTCTTAAAGTTTTGATTATGGTCTTTTAAAATGGAAGGATGGGGATTGAAGTTATCAATTAGATTAATGCTAATCCTCAGAGTTGGCTCCCTGCGCTTAATTTTGTGGGACTAATAATTTTTGACAGTGACGCTAAAATTATATATGGACCACAATTGGAAGGTTTTAATGTATTGATGACCGTGACTCAATGAATTTCTTGGGGTATACGGCACTTTTTTTTTCAGTAAGAATAGGGCAGATTTGTAATGTTTATTAATTTTCGTTGCGCCTTTTCTTCTGGTGCATTGAGTGCTTGATAGACCCAAGAAGAAAATGACCTGGTCTATTAGAGGAGTGAGGGAGGGTGTGCTGAGAAGAAATGGAGCTAGATTTAAACGAGGAAAGGGCTATAAAGGGCCAGGGGACATAAGACATAAAGCATGCAGAAGGGCAAAATAATACTGGTGAAGAAGTAAACTCACTCCTGTCCTAGTCTGTATGGGGGAGAGAATGCAGGGTGTGAGGCTTTTTATGGAGGGAAACTTGTGTTTAGAAACAGGCCCTTTTGTGTGCTTAAAGACTTTTGTACTTCTTTCTGAAAAATTGAATGTAATATTTGTTGGCTACTCTTTAAATTATCTTCGTGGTTCATCATCAACCTTGTAATTTCAGGTGTGCTTACACATGTTCACTCTGGATTTTCTGAACCAAGTCGCTAATGGCCTTGAGAAAGACAGCATGTAAGTATATTGCCTTCTCCCATAGGTTTATTTCCTCGTGACGCTCTAAATTTGTTATTCTTTAACGAAGTTCAATTTTAAAGAAGAAATTCATGGGTGTGAATGTAACTTTGCAATTTGCAAATAGAATATGAGAAACTGGAAAGTAGCAAGTCAATGCTGCCTGTCATACATAGTAACCCTCTCCGACACAAAACTGATTTTCATTGTTCTGCTCAATGCCAAACATGCACTTAGCCTATAACCTTCAGATGTTTTAACGGTATTGATCCACAAATGGATTTTATGTGCAGTTACCATCTTGCAGAGAAGAAAATCCCTTCCATACATGGATTTACAATGGGATTAAAACTGGAACAGTTCATATTTGATGCATTTCCATATGCTCCTACGACTGCACTTTATGAGGTATTTATAATTCTCTTAATTCTTACCAGAAATTGAGTGCCTGAGAGTAGTAGTACTATTGCTTATGGATATTGTGCATCCTGTACAGGTACTACGGGAAGAAGAATTTGCACCAGTGAAAAATGCAAATGGATCCAATTTTGACACTCCAGATAGTGCTAGACTTCTTGTTCTTAGACTCCATAGTCGTTGGGTGGTTGCTGCTGGTGGCTTCTTAACTCACTCGGTGCCGTTATATGCAACTGGTAAGTTTTGCCTCTTTTTATGGAACCCTGAGGAAAGGCATAAAATCTTGAGCCACTTTTAAGCTTTAATTTTGGTACTAGAAATGGAATCGCAAGATTTTATCCAATAAGCTGAAACAAGTCAAACAAAGATTAGACCTTTTGAAGATGAGGAAAAATTTTGGGAGGAATAAACAATGAAATGTGAAACCCAACATGGAGGAACAACAGAAACAGAAACATAATATAATCTTTAATGCAAAATTAACATTTTTTTTTTTTTTAAATTTTCCTTACCAAAGAAAAGATTATCTTATTCAACTTAGTCAGTGTGTAACGTAGTTGCCTCTCTTGTTCAGGTGTTGAAGTCTCGCCATTGTGTTCATATGCCGGAGAAAATCTAGAACCTATCTGTCGAGGAAGAACATTCCATGCGCCTTCTGAGATTACATTCTAGTTCTAGTCTGTGCTCCTAATTTTTGCGGCCTTCTTGTGAGCTTGTACCATGAGTTCTTTTTCTCGTACATATAACCAAACAAATTTGTGCATGCTAATTGTCATTCGCTTGTACAATTATCAATATATGTTTCTTCTCCAATCTGCTTGATTGGATAATGAATATATGGTTATGCCTCATGATTTTGGTCATATATTTGCGAGCAACTTTGACAATTTGATTCTTGGTTTGTTATACTGCTTCTCATCCTAAATATAGATTACAGTCAACTACTTCACTGGTATTTCAAAATGTTGGTCATTCCTTTCAGATTGCAATTATGTTTTAGATCTGTCCCTAATCAAATGATTTATCTTTCAACATAAATCTCCATGTCTGCTTTTCTAAAATTGATAACTTATTCACGGCTGTCTTTATGAAATTAATTTTTTTTAATGGTTTAAAACTAAGTCTATCATATGTATATATAAAATTTTACAATTTGGTAAATCAAAAGGTCAGGGGTACAAGCCTCACCTTGACCTTGAAGGCATTTCACTTTCAATGGCTCTGATCACTTAACCACCGGGGACCTTGGTCGGGGATGAAATTTGCCCTTTTTTTGGTCTGTAAACTTACAGTCTTCTCAAATCCGTTTGAACTTCAAATTGCTTTCCATCTGGCAGGAGCATTAAGACTAAATCTCTTTCAAGAAATACACTTCTCAAGACAAGATTCGAACTTATGTCCTCCATCACCACTTACCATCTCAAGCTGCATTGGTTAACATGCAACGAATGTTTTTTTTAACGACCTAAACACAAATTTATTGGGGATGAGTCCAGCGCACCAGAATCACTTGACAAAAGAACTCGCGTGCGACCATTTATTCAGCACTGACAGTTGCTATTGCGAGTTGCCATGCGACCCAGTAGCTACGGAGGATTAAAACTAGGCATAACATTATAACGCTACTACCTAATAATGCACAAGCATAACGATCGGGTTGTCACTTCATTCTTTGCTTTCAAGGGGGCTCATATCTTAGCCTCTCTTTCCTTGTCACTCCCCCTGATTTTTCTAACTAAATCTTCAAATGTTGCCAAATTTTTCCCAGGCGATGAGATGATCGGAAAAGGCAGATAAATCTTTTTCCCTTGCAGATTTCAGATAACGTGTTCATGCAAATAAAGATTGAGACCCGTTCACCCCAAAAAAAAAAAAAAAGGATTCTAAGTGCGACTAGTGAAAATATGATTACCACCTGTCACGAAGCTTAAATTACATTCAATTGTCAAGGGCAACACAGCCAGAGAAAGCAACTTGTCCCATAATTTACACATCAATCTCAGCCAAATCAACAAGAACTGCCAGCACTCTGGTATATCCCATGTATAGCGGAAATAAACTCACCAAGCGGCAAGTTTGGAAGGACATAAACAAAAATAAATTCACCCAATTTAAGATGACCAGTTAAAACACTACTACCTAAGTAAGCCATGAACAATTCCACTTCACCCAGCACACCGCACACCAAAAGCACTTTATATGAGATCAGCAACATTCATTGGCATTTCATCAATCTGTGTACTGTAATATTGCTCAATATCTCTCAGGATCTTGATGTCATCACTCTTGACAAAGTTGATTGCAACACCCTACAAACAATGACATGGGCCAATTATAAGTGTGTGAGAGAGAGAGAGAATAGGAAGCAAGAAACTGGTAACACAGCAATGGGAAAGAACATCAAAACCCCAAAAAATGAAAGAAAGTTGAGCAGCTCAAAGCACTCAATAAAACTGCAATAGGCATTGAATCACGTACCTTGCGTCCAAAACGTCCAGATCGACCAATACGATGAATATAAAGCTCTCGATTATTCGGAAGGTCATAGTTTATAACTAGAGAAACCTGATAACAGAATATGTATATTTATTATTATTTCACCGAGTTCTAAAAGAATTGAAATCAGAAAACATCTTACAGGCTAACAAATGGAAACATAAATAAATAAGGTGTAAACACTCACCTGTTGCACATCAAGACCACGAGCCCAAACATCTGTGGTGATAAGTACACGAGTTGTACCAGCACGAAACTCTCCCATGATTGCATCTCTTTCTTTCTGAGGCATGTCCCCATGCATTGATGACACGGTGAAATTGTTGTTACGCATTTTCTCAGTCAACCAGTCAACCTATTCCCAAAGCAGGAGAACAGACAAAATATGATCAGAAGACTATTGAACAAATATTTAAAAGATAGTATCTGCAATCAACAATTCCCCAGAGTAGACTGAAGAAGGCTGTCCTATGAAGCATGGAGAGTTTCTGTTTACCTTCCGCTTGGTGTTACAAAAAATAACAGCCTGTGTAATGGTGAGGGTATCATAAAGATCACATAAAGTATCAAACTTCCAATCTTCCCTCTCAACAGCCACAAAAAATTGCTTGATGCCCTGTCATAAGGGAAAAATTGCATCAACATCCTGCAGGCTCTCAAAGGAACTAAGATGATGTTAAACTATGGCTTACCTCCAAAGTCAACTCATCACGTTTTACAAGGATCCTTACAGGATCTGTCATGAACTTATTTGTCATCTCCAGTATTTCATGAGGAAGGGTGGCAGAAATCAAGACAACCTACAGTAAGAGCATAATAATTCAGAGGCTGATATGCACCAAAACTCAGAATGGGGAAAGTCACTGAGCATACAATCGGGGAAAGTCACTAAGCATACAATCGCTAACACTCCATCTCCCACCAATTACCTGATTACAAAAACAATACACACATGCACTATTTATGTAACTAAATTCCCCAAAAGATGCATACAATTATCTACATAACATAACCAATAGACTATTCGATTAAAGTTCAAAGAACTCTATTATCAGGGTAAACTTTATATGCTTCACATAAAAATAGCTTAAGCAGTAAATTTTAAGGATTTGGGCTGAGCCAACCTTAGGACTTGCAATGATAACAAGAAATATATCCGTTCTACTTCTAGAATCAAGAGAGTAGAGACCAAAGTACATGTGTTTTAGTAACAGACACCCGCGCCAGGTATATAGTCTCAGTTGTCAAAAAGTGGTAAGATTTATGATACAATGCAACCCAACCCAAGTATATCTTGGAAACCTAGACACGCACTATATACATGATACTTCCTATTTTTAAAAGAAAAGGGGGGGGGGGGACACTTAAAACTATGAGTTACTGAACATAAATAAGATATTTGAGATGGAAGAAATTTCAAAAGATTTTTAAGATAGAAGAGATTTCATTTCAAAAACATAAAGGCAGGAAAGACGGCAGAGAAAGAAAACCTGAAGTTCCGGAGGGAGATATCTATACACATCATAGATCTGATCCTTAAACCCTCTGCTCAACATTTCATCAGATTCATCCTGTCATGGAAATGATGTTAACCGTTGACAAGATAAAAAGGCCCAACAAAATGCAGTCGATGGTTGAAAGGCGCATTAAACTTACAAGGACCAACAATTTGATAGCTCTAGTTCGCAACGTTCTCCTTTTTATCATGTCACAAACTCGTCCAGGAGTTCCAGAAACGACATGAACCCCATACTCAAGCTTCCGTATGTCTTCTCCAACACTTTTACCTCCAATGCATGAATGAGCTTGTATATTTATGTAATCTCCAATAGCCAAGATAACCTTTTCAGTCTGGGAGGCCAATTCTCTTGTTGGTGACAAGATCAAGGTCTGGACTCTGTAACAAAATTATTAGGATGGAGATCATAAGATGATAATACATATTTAACAGAAGATGACAAACAAAGAATATAAATCAACTCTTCCATTAAGTTGGTTTTGCATTTCCTAAAAGAAAGCCAACATCAACTTCAATATTGTGAAGGAACATCATTTTTATCCCTTCAAATTGAGTAAAACAAGCTTATACCCACCCCGCTATAACAGATGGAAATACTCATGAGAAGTGCCATCCACGACCTACTGTTCAACACCTCCATTCACTCCAATCCTCTCAAATCATCTTGATTCACACATTCTCATGCACTAAACCAACGTGTGACATTCATATTTCTATTTTCTTTGCTAACAATGAAAATACTTTGATATGGCAAAGTTGCAACATACAGAGAGGTCTAGTACAAGTCTAGTTGAACAGAAGCAGGCCATGTTGTTCGTTCACAAGCAAACCTTTTGTAACTTATCATCAGCCTAGGGAAAGAAATTCTTGTAATTTCTGAACAAAAGTAATGATATATTTATTATGTTGCTCAACTTGATAGAGGAGTACATATGTTTCATTCTAGGGGCAAAAAGGATTGATGTTTGCTTGACCAGGCATACAGTTTTTCCAAGCAATTCTTGGTAAGGTTCTGAACCTATTCAGGAGCAAAAGTGAAGTTCAGAGCCGAGTTTTTATTTTAATCCTATTAATTTCCGTACCAAAAACTACGTTATAAACTCGATCTCATATTGCAGGTCTGTTCTTACATCTGAAATACTAGAGCCTAACATAGGAAGCTAGCCAAAGCACAATCAAATAGGATTTTCCCATTTACAACTGACAAAATGTACAAACAAACAAACTCTCCACCCCCCTTGGCCCGATTACATTGTGTCCAATATAAAGGGTTTCCCCTCAGCATAATTTTTTGCTTTCCTTATGTTCAGGCCATTCAATTCCAATACTCCTCATCGTCCACTCGAACGAAGCTAAACTCCGACAGGAACCCCAAGGACGCAATGGTCAATTTTCAAGAAGAATCAGATATTCCTCCAGCACACTAAAGCCAATGCCTCAAATTTCCAGTAAAGATAACGTTTACCCCAAGAAACATGGAAAAAAATTCCAAAAAACTGGATTATTATTATTAACCAATCCCTAATTTTTGGCATGCAGAGGCATAAAAGGAAAGGAAAAGGAAATTCGAAATCTAAAAAAGTAAAGGCTTTCAAGAAGCACATACTCTCTCATAGAAGTATCGACGACTTGGCAAACGGTGAGGGCAATCATAGACGTCTTGCCAGTACCAGATTGGGCCTGAGCTATAACATCCCGTCCTTCAATAATAGGTCTGACGGCTCGCTGCTGGATTGCCGAGGGCTTCTCGAAGCCATAGGCATAGATGCCTCGGAGAAGATCCTCCTTGATACCCATGTTCTCGAAGCTCGAGATAGGCTCTACGCCTTCCGTCGTCTCGAACTCCAAATCCTCCTGCGGATTCGTGATCCGCCGCCGGTTAGCCGGCACC